TATCCTAAATGAATATGATAAATTATTTTTTTAAATATTAATTTAAAATTAAAGCACTATATAAGACAACATTGATTACAAGTAGATTTGATCATTGTTAATAAATATTGGTTATGTTTTATATTTTATTTTTTTAATACATTAAATAATTAACTATTTAATAATATAAAAATTTAAACACTTAATTTGAATTATTATATCAAAACTTTTAAATTAATAAAAACCAATTCCATCAAATCCTTTTGGATATATTCTATATTTTATTTCACATACATGGTGCGCCTCTTTACATAGATTTTTCTGCAATAAATAAGGAAATATTCTATATTTTTTAACAAAGTATTATATTTTTAAATAATTTGTTGACTAGACGGAAAAAAAGAAAATAATTTGTTAACTTTGATGCTTTATTTCAGAGGGCAGAGATCACGTTACATGGCTGTCTGGTAGGATGAAATCAACTAGTGCCACGTGCAACACAGCCACGGGTAAAGAAGATGATTGGGCCTCAGAGGGAACTAGTTGGGCCCAGGTTAGCCCAAATACCGAAGATACTTTTGGGCCGAAGTGTGCTTATGGGTCCAGTCCATTGAGACGTTTTCATTTTTTCCAGTTGCGCAGCTGGGATATCTGCAATTTTCTCGGCTGCCAAACAATCGGAATAGAAAATGAGCGGCGCCGGTTGTTTCAATCCGGTAATTCAGTTGAAAATTCCGTCCCGGTTTCGCTCCCAAAAGCGCACCGGAAAATTTGGACCGGTTTCCGCTCGTCTTGACGATACTCAAGATCGGCAGCAACAACTCAATCTCTCCGTTCTTCGCTTCACTTTCGGTACTCCTCCCTCCTTCTTCGATTGTAGAAATAAGAAGACTAGTTGATAATTCTGTCTAAAGCCTTTTCTGGGTGTGTATGCCAATTAGGGATTCCTGGATTGGACGAATCGTACTTGCCGAGATGGATAGGATACGGGTTCGGGTCGCTTCTGATCTTGAACCGTTTGCTAGGATCCGATTCAGCTACTTCGGCTCAGCTGGTGAGATTTTCGTTCTTCTTGTTTTCTTTTATTTTAATTGTTTCTGGTGGATTTTTATTATTTTTTCTGTTTTGTTTAGAGATCAGAGGCATTGGGACTTTCTTTGGCAGCATTTTCCATTGGACTTCCTTACATTGGTAAATTTCTGAAGGTAATTTTAAAACTATTATTTTTTAATTTAGTTTTACAAAAAGTAAAGAGTAATGACAGGAAGACGAAAGTTTGAAATGAAAATTTATTATCAGTGTATTGGTATATTATTGGTATTAATTATTGAATTAATTGATGCATATGATATTATAATTTTTTTTTAAAAAAAATTATTAAATAATGTAAAGGTTTTTTTTTTTTTAATTTTTCAATAACCTAATTAGTTTAGTGTTTATCACTTTTCAGTGAGAGTAAAAGATTTTGAGTTAGAACAGCATGTTATGCGGATGAGGTGGAATAAAAGATGAAAGATAGTTGTTATTCATTGTGCAATTAAGATAAAAATTTTTTTTTTTAATATTTTAAATAGCATAACTTATGCAACTTTCTTGATCTTGGATTTTGATCCCATTTATCATTATTCAAAAGTAAATACCTTGAAACTCTTTCCGCCATGATTACTTTAATGACATTTTAGTGATTCCAGTATCCAAACAACTTTTTTTATTATACAGCTGAAAAACATAAGCGTCTTAATTTTATAATTTGTATAGTTTATCCATACCAAAGTCTTGAATATTTGGTATGGAGCAGTGCATTTTTTTTAATGGGATTCCATAATGTGAATGATTGTATGCATACTAAGGCAGTTCAGCTTTTTCTGTTAATCCAATTTTGTTAAAAATCTTACAGGGTGCCGGTCCGGTGGATCAGACAAGTCTTCCGGAAGGTGCTGAGCAAATTTTTGTAATGTCCCAGAATGTCTCAGATGCTCTGAAGGAGGACTTGGCTTGGGCAACTTATGTTTTATTGCGCAACACAAACACTACAGCTGTGGTATGACTGCTAGAAACTATTATCTAGTCGAATGGAAGACATGGAAGATTTATATTCCAGTTCTTTGTTTTACTCTGTTTCTCTTATGTTGACTAATGTTGATATATAGATACAAAAACTACTTTCTTTTCCGAAGTATTCACCTTTTACTGGTGTTTATCATCTCAAATTTACAGTTGATATCAATTCGAGGCAAATTATGCATACGGGGCTACTGGAACATACCAGATGGTGTCTCAAAAGCTGAATGTCTTGATTGGTTTAAGGGCCAGATAGGAAAGAGTGGCCTGATTGATTTGAAGGATAGTCTTTATTTTCCCCAGAGTGCAGGTAGTAACTATTTTGCTTAATGAGGAATTAATCTTATCTAATCAAACTCTAGTAGTAGTTGAAATTTGTGCAGTTAGCTATATGGCCTCTGATAACATCAAAGAACATAAGAGCTTTACATGCCTCAATGTATCATCTAACGGTGGTAATGCCAAGCTGCTTCCTTTTTCCCTGTAAAAGAGAAATGAATAGACTGATAATAATAAAAAAATTCATGAGTTGAAGTGGGCAGCAAGTAAAAACTTTTATTGAGAGATTAATAGGTAGTGGTAGCTTATTCATACTGGGGACATTTTCTTTTTCAGTTGTGCTGCTCTAAGTTGCTTAATATAGGAATAATCTAAACTTTTATAGACTTTTGTCAATATCTCAGATTCTGGATTGGGGGATATGCTTCCCAAGGGAACTCGTTCTCTCTTGGTACAACCTGTAATACAAGAATCAGACTCAGATGTGGAGAAAGTGGAAAATAAAGAAGGATTTGTCCTGTTGGTTTCAAGTGTCAGGTCTGCATATGGTGATAAAGATAGAGCCTGGATAAGAGTGATCTCAAAGAAATTTAGAGGTGAGTTTGCATGTATAGATTTGAAGTGAATTGGCAACTCAGTTTCATTATATAAATTCATTTGGAAGTATCTAAATGAAGCTTGGTTGACTTCTGCATTGTGTGTTTGCAACTTTCATTTTTGGTGGTCTAGGATTTGAAATACTGCTCTTGGCTTACTTGGTAACTTGTCCTCTCAAACAAGTGAAGATTCTCTTTATTTATGTGGTCTTGTTAAATCCGAAACCAAATTACATTTACCTGTGCGCTCCAAGGTCTCCATCATGTTTCTGGCTTCAGTTATAGAAGTCTTCTCTCATTAGTCACTGTATGAAGGGTTCTCTTAATTATGACAATTTATTCACTCTAATCAACTAGTAATTGATTCTATTCAGAATACTAGTTACGTTTTCCACAGAACCTTGTAGTCATAGCACATGTTGCAAAGATAGATGCAAAATTTATAAACTTCAAATGTTGAATAACTTTCTGAAGGGATTGTATTCAGGCCCATGGAATTAGAGAAATGTTGTCTTTTGGTGCTCGTAATTTACCACTTTGTTTCTGATCTTTAGAAGCGTAGGCAATTGGGTACACCTTAAACTTTTGGGCCAATAAACAAAAAATTGAGAGTCTTTTCAAGGTTTCAACCTTGTTCAGGCAATCAAGTTGTGATCTCTAGGCTCTTACAAGCAACTATTATTTGCTTGCTGTTTGGTATGCCAGCTCTAAGTAAATGGTAGTTAGCGCATGAAATTTCTTTGTGGAAAACTTTCTGTCCTTTTTGTTCCCCTTAACTGTAATTCAGAAGCTGGTTACAATAAAAGCTGAAGAGTTTAGCATGCATTCCAAGTTTAGGGGAAGACGACTAAGGTTAAAATAAAAAAATCATAATCATATGCAACTTCTCTATACGTTTTTTTTTGTAAAACAAAATGATAAGCGAGGGCCTTTGAAGAAGCATATATAGTACCGTTGTTCAGTCAGTACCTCACTCAAAATACCAAATTGTCTTAAAGGTGCATCAATTTGAGCAATTTAAAATCTGATAGAAAGGAAAATGCTGAGAAGATTTAATTTTTCCCCCATTTTGACTGAAGCCTCTTTTGCAAAATACCTCTGCCAGATAATATTGATTCCTCTATAAAATATAATCTTGCAGGATGACATCGTTCTTGCATCAACTCTATATGAAGGTTAAAGCTGCATGCCAAGGTGATTGAAGTATAATCGGATCCTACAAAAATTTCTCCAAGCCATACACCAGATTCTGTAGAAGTGATCAGGTTAATGACTATAGTTTTACTTCGTGATCAGATGAGGCAGAATGCTTGAGGTGAGAGATGAATTATTGTTTGATGACTTACCTTTAGTCTTACAACCTTTCTGATAGCCAAGATTAAGCCTGGCATGAGGCACCGCACATCTGTTATGTCATGTTTGATTGTATAAACCTGCAGCCAGTGTTGCAGGGCTTTTGGATCAGAGTGGTAATAAAGGTAAAGTACTCAAGAAATACTTTCTAATCTTTTAACAAAGAAGATAGAATACTTCAGAGAACATGCCTCTCCGGGGCCAGAGAAGTAAACTGTTGTATTGGATGGAAGCCCAGGAAGGACCAAGCTGTGAACACGAACTCCATCATCACCTAGGACTTGACCCCTTGCCTTGCAAGGAGAAAAAGATGAATTAATAATGAGCCATCATATCATGCTTGAATCCTAATAGGCGATTGATAGTTAAATGTTATATGGGCTTCTCTAGGATCCTTCTATTGATAGCATTTCACAACAATGAAACTCTCTCTACTTAATTTATGGTGTATAAGCAGTATGTACTTGAATAATCATTATGATGACATTTCCCCTGCTTTTTTCTCAACATTTTCTTTACTTTGTTGCTTTGAGCATAAACACTAATGTTATTTGTTTCCATTCTCCTGCAGCCACCAACTGGAAAGACAGAAATGGAAGGAACTTCCAAAATATATTGATACTTACCAGAACATCCGTTGAAATATCTTCTCTGTTGTAGATTTGGCCAAGGTTTGAGAGGTTGTTGGCAATTTGGATTGCATCTTGTGAGGGAAGGTCCTGTTATCGATAACAAGTTTAGAACTTTCAATGCTTCATAGACAAGGCAGGTGCATCTTACTTTGCTCTTGATAGTAATTTAGAGTTAGGTAAATGTTCTTCATTTTTTATTTTTTTGGTACATTTTCTTCGTTGAATAATGTATAATATGTTTATTAAAGCTCCTTTTCTAACACTTGATTAACTTTTATGCCAACTGCATCATGTACTTAGATTAAACACCCCATTGAAAATAGACAAACTCTTTATCCTTTTTTGATGGTTAAACCCTCTATCCAGTAGAATCTAAAACATAAACTGAAGTCTTACTGTTGCACTTGCTCTGGATTCCACTATTTCTACATTGTTGTAGTGGAAGGAAGCCGTAATGGCGGCTTGCTGGAGCAATATAGATCCTATTGACAGAGTTGGAGCAACTAGGCAACCCTGAACATCGAATATTAAGTGAAATTTATCATTTTATCATGATTTAAAATCATGAATAAGCAAAGGTAATAAGTAATGCTAAATCTTTCCCTCCCTGTGATGATATCTCACCCTGTGCTCACCATGCTGGCTTTATCACAGAATGCAGATAACGCTGATACTGTGTCAAGTTTGATTCGAGGCACATAAACGACACTTCTCATTCCAAATGCTACTGCCTAATGAGAGAGAGAGTTAAGAACGAAAAAAATTATTTCAAATATACTTCAAGTTATGATAGTGGGATTCTGATACTGAAACAAAGCATATGGTCTTTCATGTTTTAAATCCATGTTAGTAAGAGAATGAAACACAGAGACTGAACCTGTTTCACATTCTCATAAACAGTAGATGGGTCTGTAAAATCAACGACAACTCCTGTTGCTTTTGACTGCCAGAATTCAGGTTAAAGCACGATGTTATGAACAGCTTACACAACTGTGGTAGCATGAGAGGTAAGTACTATCAAAACTATACCTGAGATATTGAACCTAACACCATTGTGAGATCATTTAGAATGGGTATTTCCAGTGGTTCCTCCATATCACAGACCTACTACCAAGAATGAGATCATAATTTTAAAATTTTGCATGTAGATATTTGTGCGATTTAAGCAGGAGTGAAGAAAAACCGAGGGAGACCTTTCCAATATCTTCCCCTACAAAATGGGAATCCACTGCACCAGCTACCTCCATTCCTCTTGCTCTTGTCACAGCAACAACGGCAGCCCTTCCTATTTCCTTTGCTGCTCCAGTTATGATAACTTTGATATTGCTTTGAGAAGGCTGCATGGAACAAGAGATAGACGATCTGACCTTTGCTTTGTGAGGAATTTGATGGATGGCACAATAAAATTGGCAGCTTAAGCCTGCCATGGAAAATTTAGCGGTTCACTTGTTTTTCTTGGTTGAATTAGCTCAATGTCTCTTGATAAGCTCCTGTGTCCAAAACCATGTGCAACACATATTTGTCCTCGGATAAGGTTCTTTTATTTTTTTTATTTTTTATTTTTTATTTTTTTGTAGGCCTTGCTTGTGTAGGGTTATGTGAAAGCGACAAGCATATCAGGACTCTCAGAACTCAGCATGTGCAACATGGAGAATGGTATCATTTTCCTTTGAGATGGTACTTTGGGTTGTTGGTGAGAGATGCTCATCTAAAAATTCGGCCAAAATACTTGAAAAATATTTCAAATGAAAACTTCCATTATGAGAATCAAATCGATTATTCAATCAACTGAATAATTTATTTTTTTGGTACAAATTTTAATTTAATACTTCTACATAAAATAGTATTACTTATTTAATAATTTAGAAATAAGAACTCATCTAACGAAATTGTTAAAGCATCGTACATATAATAATCACTTATTGCACGAGTAAGTTCCACTTGTATTCATAAAATCTCCAAATCAAAACAAATAAAATTCCAAACCAATGAGAGAAAACACAAAAGGGGAAGAAGAGGGAAACTTTGCATTTCTAGATTTAGGTAAAATCTTATACCCTACATTATCCGAAAAAGCCAATGTAGTGGCAATATTGTGGTGAGGATTATGCACATGCCACATACACATTCTGATAAAAATTTGTTTTTATTTACCAATTAGATGTAGATGATATCCTTAATTGAATCATATAGAAAATAATGTCCTCACTTACATAACTAGGGTAAGTTTGCCTCCTTATTTGGGGCTTTTACCTAGTTTTCTTATTTTACAAAATTAAAAATATAAAAATTGAAGTGGAAAGGTAACAGTTTATAGTTAACAGATATAATCAACAACATATTTCTAAGTTTATTGTAAGTTAATGTACCACCACGCCCATTTAGAACCATTTTTTGAACCGGACTAGAATTCTTTCCGGTTTGTCATTTCATTGGTCAGACCGATGATCCAATCCAGTTCTAACGAAGCTATGTTTACTTGATGAATCAGCAAAATAGTTTAATGTAGAAACGAAAGGGCCTAATAGGTTACATGTACTTAATCCATAATGTAATTTTTTAACGAGGCTTAGAAAATAATTGAGTACGTTTGATTTGCTTTGGTTTTGCTCATATATAGATTGATGACAATGATTGAATAACGATGAAGCTTTTCGCTTTTCACAAGTACTAATAATCAAATAAAATCATAGTTTAAGGTTAGATTAATGATTTAAAATTCAGGAATGTAGATTAAACATTACTCTAAATTTATTGGCATGGAATCTGCGGATGATCCTAATGTTAGAAATTATAGTGTGAGGGAAATACTTAAAACCTAATCATTGATGAGTTGACATATCACGCAACATCTTGATTTAGTTATCAATGATTTTTTTCGATACATTAGATAATTAATTATAAAAAAAGGAATAGCTCTTCTTTTTTATATCTCATCTATTTTCGAATTTGAAATTTTTAACACAAAAAATTAAAAAACTTTTAACCAGTGAAACGTCTCATAAGAGACAATTTAGATGATTATAGTGCAATTATAAAAAGAAATAATGATTAGAGTTGTTGTTGGAGAGGCAAAAGTACAAACAGTTGAGAAATGAGAACAATATACATGAACCAGTCCCACTAGCCATTATATATAATGTAGTACGTTATACTAATTACATGCGTCTATAATTGTTGCACTAAAGAAATTTTGATTCTCTTTACACTTTTAAAATAATTCTCTTTACTTTGCTCTTGTTCTGACCTACATATTTATAAAACGAGATGCAATGATGCATATTCGGATTTCGTTACACCTCGTGGGCGTGGATGAGTTCTTCCATGGTATATAAATAGCATTAAACATTCATTATTAATCTCATCTTGCTCTTGGTATTCATTACCAGGAAAAAACTGAACCAAACAAAGCCTAAACTAAATCAAATAAAACCGAAACAATCATTAGATACTAGAGAGCTTTGAACAAGCTGCATGGTGTCAAAATCAATAAGAAAATGTATGGTTTTGCAAACGAAAAGGACTACAATGACAATCATTTGTGTCGTTGTTGCGTCCCAAATTTCTTGCTAGCCATGGCATATGGCTCCGAGGATTTGCCCTGTGAATGAAGCATCACAACGTGTTGTGCCGTCATTTTCATGGGCTTTATAAATACTACAAATGGTTTTATGATAAGAAAACTGTGGTTGTTGTTTTTCTTTCTAAATCACTAATACCTTACGTTAATTATTGAACTTGTTAAATTTTTTTAAGGTGGTTAAAGTATTTTCAAGTTAATTTGTACACATTTTAAAAGTAATTTTTTCTTAATGATTTTGAAAGCATAACCCTTTTATCAAGCAAGTACATCTAAGAAAATTAATTTTTTTAAGTTTTGAAGGAAACTAATTTTTTTAAGTATTGACTTCAAAACTTAAATTTTAAATGTTTTATAAGAAAACATTTATTTATTAATAGATTCATTTTAAAAATTGTTAGATGTTATTATAACATAACAACAATGATAATTTCACTTTTTTTTTCTTTAAAAATTGGAGATTTAGATTCAAGTCAAATAATTTGTGCCAATGACGAGTTAACACACATCTTATATTTTTGCTTTAACCTTGTTCATCATTTCATGGTTGTTAGATTATCGTTTTCAAATCCAAGTAAAATAAGCAAATGAAGAGTGAGACGTTGTACCACTCTTAAGATAGATATCTTCGGCAATTATTCGGAAACATAGATTTAAGTATAATATATATCATATAATTAGTCAAATAAGAACAAATTGTATTACATGCATGTAGTTCCGAACCGAAACCTTTTTTTTTTTCTTTTATTGGAGTGTTATCTAACAAACAAATTTTAAAAGGCCAATAGGACATGTACCATAAAAAAAAAGGGCCAATAGGACAAATTTGGGAAGATTGTTGTAAGGTGTTTGACAATACTGTTTACAATTTGTCTTGTGTGCATTGCCTTCATTTTAATCATTAATAAAAAGATGACATTTAATATTAAAAGACCCACATTTCTACTTTATTTATAATTATAAAAAGTGAAGTTCGTGCCCAACAAATTCCACTCCACCTTTTGTGAAAATACATAAATCTCCGATGAAAAAATTAGTATTGTAAACAAATAAGATTAAAAGAAAACTATCACCCTAATAATGAGTCCTCACAAATTGTTTTATCTGTAATGCCAATTAAAAAGATATTATTGTAAATAAATAAAATTAGAAAAAAAAGAAAAGAAAAGAAAACTACCACCGTAATGATGTGTCTTATGAATTGTTATAAGTATCGGACACATTTTCACTATAAAGTAACAGAGTTATTCATTAAAATTTTAATTAGGTGCAATTAACCCTTCGAATCAAGTGACACTTTATCGTTATGAGGTGCATTTCACTCCCTTTTTTAGCTTTAGCCCGCCCTTGGCAAATTATTAAAAAAAACAATATCAATTAGGCGTTGGAAAAATTCTAACCAATCATCATCTGCATTAGGTTAAGATTTACAAATTTTTGAATGTCAACTCCACTAAACATTTAAGGGTCAATGATTGGCTGGCTGGCATGACTAAATAGAATATATATATGTAAATGCTCTTTGTCCAGAGGGGATCACATTGGTCTGCCTCTAGTGGGAACCTTCCTCTTCCGGCTCCCAAGCAAATGGTTGGGAATTGTATTGATGGCTTGATGCAATGATGCTCTGTTACGAAAACTCACAGTGCCTGTGATGATCGTGTCATGGAAAAGACAAGAGCCAGAGGCAGCAATGCCTACCAGCCCTATGTTAAAATGTAAATACCAAATGTCACCTCAACAGAATACCCACCAACAAACCATCCTCCCTACCCACCACCTTACCCTACCTTTTGCAAATTTTTTTTTTTTTAATTTGAAGAGAAAACACACCACCTCATACGGCTTTTCTATTATTGTTACTACTATTCTTTTTTTGTTTGTTAATAAAAAATGGGAAAATCAGACCAAATTATACTTAAAATGGTTCACGTGGATGGGTTGGGTTTTGGGATAACATCACTCGCAAGTTTGAGGTCAATTAATGGCTTGGTGATGATAGTGATTTGGGTTTTGTATTCAAATCGAAGAATGGAGAAGATAGAAATTGTGTAATAGTAGTGAGCCGGAGGGCGCGAATGGAAATTTTTTTTTTTAACAGATTGAAATTATTTACATGTATTATATTTACATGTATTAAGTGGAGGAACAAAAAAATAAATCTGTAAAACTTAAACACATTACTCATAAGAAGTAAACGATCCAAATCCAAAGCTTCATGCCATTGGAATAGAACAGGTTGTTTGAGATTTCTCTTACTTTTTGGTTTACTCAATAATAGAAAATGTATATTTAATGTATATTAAAAACCAATTCAACATTATTGATCAATAGGAAAAGAAAGAATATAAAATTAATAGGTAAATTATATATTTTATGACTGTCTAGAGTCATATATTGTTACCTTACTTTTTAGACCAATTTAAAAGTATAAAATGACAATACCTTTAAACAGAAGAAACATAATCTTTAGAATGAAAAAAAAAAAAAATCAATTATTTATCATGTTTAAATACAAATTAGATATGTATTCCTTAATCGAACTAAAAACTAAACAGAAAAAATTAAGGATAAACCCAAAGTGGACATATTATCTTTATACTTAAACGGACATATTTGTAATAATAAATGAGAGTGTTAGATGGCTAAATTACCTTTTCTTTTACACTACATATTCTTTACCATCTTCAATATATATAATGATTTTTCACTAAGAAGAAATGAAAAGAAAAAGTTATCAAAAAAGAGAAACCAATGACCAGAAAAAGGGGAGGGATTAGCTCACATGCTTGGTATACCAAAGTTTCATAGAAACAAAATGAAACCATTGTCACCATAGCGATTCTCAAGTAACCCAATTTTATATGTCTAATGTTGGAGAAGTTTCTTCAATTTAAAAGCATAAAAGAAGAGGCTAAAACCTATTTTAAATCCTTTATCTTAATAAGTTTATAGATTTTAATCCATCATTTTATATTATAATATTTTTAACTATTTACCTAAATAAGTTTATAGGTTTTAATCCATCACTTTATACTTTTAGCACCTCATTTATATGAATTAAAGAAAATTGTCATTTAAAGTCAGGTTGTAATATTCTATTAGTTTTGTTAGTTAATTGTTAATTTTATTAGTTGACTGTAAATGCTTCGTTAACATTTCATTAACGGAACTAACAAATAAAATTGAATTTAAATTTCATATTTTCTATAACGAAATATTAATGAATGATAATAGTTAGTTAACAAAGCTAACAGTTAATTAACAGGATTAACAATCAACTAACAGAACTAACAGAACGTTATAAGCTGATATTAAGTAAGAGGTATTTTCTTCAATTCGTATAAGTAATAGGTTAAAAACGTTATAATATAAGGTGATGAGTTAAAATTTATAAATTTATTAAGATAAAAATTAAAAGTATTATAATATAAGGTTAGTGGTTAAAATTTGTAAACTTATTAATATTAAGAATTAAAAGTAAGTTTTTACCAAAATGAGATTTTTGTATAAAAGATAAAGAGATTCCACCAGTTCAAAGGGTTAAATAATTTATCACTTGATTTAAAATTTGATTTAAGTGGTTAAAAATTTTAAATTTTTATGTTAGAAAAATAAAAAAAAATTAAAGATTAATTTCGATAATAGATTAATAATTAAAAATAAAAAAGTAAATATATCAATTTTGCCTAAAGTTAAAATTCACTTTGCGATATAAAATTAGCTTCATTCAAAGGCCCCAAAACCTGCCACGTTTTCGTATGCCGGTGTCTCCCCCGCACGTGCGGAAAGTGTCGGTGGCTGAGAAATTAAGTCAAGAGGAGCGGGCACGGATACGAAAAGTGGAAAGTCCAAAAGGGCTGATGGTGCTGGTGGCGGCGGCGGTGGCGGTGGTTGTACCGACGGAGGCCACGTTTCTCTTGCACGAATTTGACCATATACCATGGCTGTATTCCCTTCTTTACGTATTTTCCTAATTATAGTTTATATAACTTAAAAAACGCCACACGTGTCCAAAAAATAACAATCGCCCGGCGCCGTCCGGGTAGAATTGATAACGAAACACCACCGGCCACCGGGTTCCGGCGTGGCAGAATTACATCACAGTCTCCTTATCAACTGCCACGTGTTAATCTGAATAAAACTCCATTTAACAAGAAAAGAATCATTTTTTTTATTAATCTCTCAGTATTTGATAATTACATTGGTTTTGATAAATCTGTAATCAAGTTACGTTGGATCCTATTTAGAGAAAGTTCTTCGAACGCTTATTTCTCCATTTACAAAACTCAAACTCGATATCTTGTTTAAAAGATAAACGAATTCCTTTCACTCACATTAATTAGTCATTGGTACAATAAAAAAATCATGATTAAAAAGAATTAATGATTGGATAATTCCTAAATCCCCTAACTACCCTCCACGGTACACGTGTCCGACTATGAGTAGTCCATTACTCCAAAGCCATGATGCACCTTAACATCCCCTCCTAGGTTCGGTGAAAGACCTAGCGTTTACTCTTTCACCTTGAAAACGGAAGCTTTTGGCGGCTTCCGTTGTTAGCTCCGCTTTCCTTTTCAGTAATATTATTATTTTAATTTTAGGGTTTTTTAAACACAATTATGGTACCTTTTCACTGTTATCTTTATCAATAATATTACCTAAAATAATTTAATTAGGAAGTCAATAAAATAAAATAAAATTTTATTTTTATATAAATTAGTAATAAAAAGATAAAATAAATATATTCTTAAAATATAAGTTAAAAATTTTTTCAATTTTAACAAAAATAAGTAGTAAATAATACTACAACATAAAGAAAATGAAAATGAAAATTTTATGTAATTAAGTAGTAATACTATAATTATAATATTATATATTCTATAAAATTGTAAAATTATAATTATAATTTATTATTAAATAAATATAATATGTCATTAAATTAAAAAAAATACATATCAATTCCAACTTCAAAAAAATAATTGGAGATCTAATTTTAACTTATATCATTTTATTTAATTTAAAATTTAAAAAATATCTTATTAAATATTTATATTTATATTTTTAAAATGATTATATTAAAAAATATAATAGATTTTTAAATTTAAATATCAATATTTCATAAGATAAGTTTCAATTTCTAAATGTAAATTAAAATTTCAATTATTTTTAAAAGTTTAATACACACTTATTTTTCAAATAAATAAATAAATATAATATTATGAATAAAATTTTAAATTATATAATAATACAACATATATAAATTTATTGTACTACTTAAATATTACTATTATACCACCATCGTTAACACTGCATTATATCTAAGCTATTTTATAATTGTGATCGGAGGCAGACGTTCTCATTTTTCGTTTTTATTAACGACATAATTTAATTTTCATTTTTATACGTTATTTTCATGTAATGGGTGTTATATAAATTAATAATTTGTTAATTTGTTGTTGTGTATATATATTGCTCTTAAGAAATAACAGCTGATTACTTAGCTGTCCACTCGTTTTTTATTAATTTCCTTTTTTTTTTTTTCATCTTCTTCTTTTCTCTTCTTCCACGACTTCTCCATAAGGGAGAGGGGGAAGAATCATATCTCGGAATTTCATTTTATTTTTTTCTTTCCCATTCCGCATTGAGTTTTCCCTCTCTTTATAATGAAAATTGGAGATTCTTGAGTCAATTTTCCAGTCAATTCGCCAATTGGTATCATTCTGTACAGGAGATCTGAGCTCGGCGGTGAGCTTTGACAAGTGCCGGATTTTTCAGGGCGATCTGGGTTTGGTTTCTTGCAAATAAAGAGTCGAAGATTTTTTTTTTCCCGCCATTGTGATTGTAAGAAAGAGAAAGGAAAGCAGAAGGTTTGAAGAGTTTCAGTTGTGTCTTTGTTTCCTTTTTATTCTTTCTTCTATCTCATATGCGTGGATGTAGGGATTAGACTCGTGTAATGCTGGAGTCAAATAACAGCCTTTGTCTGAAATGGGTCTCCGTGATTTCTGATACAGATCGCAAAGACTCAATCTTTCAGCTGATCTGAAGTCTCTCTGTTTCAAGCGCCATAAATATCCTCTGTTTTCTTCGTTTTCTTAAAGAGAAAAAATGATGAGGATGAAGACTGGGCTGTCACCCATGACTCATAGCAGCGCAACTTTTGGCGGCGGCGGCGGCAGCGGCGGCGGTGGTGGCGGTGGCGGGTCAGCCGAGGGAGGAGCCCACGAGTGGGAGTTGAGACCTGGAGGAATGTTGGTTCAGAAAAGAAACCCTGATTCCGAGTGGACCGCCGCCCCACCACCGACAATTAGAGTTAGGGTCAAATATGGGTCGATTTACCATGAAATCAGTATCAGTTCTCAAGCTACATTTGGTATTTTTCCTCACATCTCACACCTGTTCATATTTCCATGGATTCATGGAGTTAGTTTTTTATTTGGGTTGTTTGGATGCAGGAGAATTGAAGAAGATGTTGACAGGACCAACAGGATTGCATCATCAAGATCAGAAGCTGATATACAAAGATAAAGAGAGGGATTCAAAAGCTTTTCTTGACATGGCAGGAGTCAAGGACAAATCCAAAATTGTTCTCGTTGAAGATCCAATTAGTCAGGAGAAGAGGTTATTGGAGATGCGAAAGAATGCCAAGATGGAAAAGGCATCAAAATCTATCTCGGAAATCAGCTTGGAAGTTGATAGGCTCGGCGGTCAGGTAGATATAAAGAATTAGACTTTTCACCTTTGTAATTTATGGATTCATGTGCTTTTGTTAGTCTTTTGAGATTGAATTTTGGTTGGAATTGAGTAGGTATCGGCTCTTGAATTGATAATTAATAAAGGTGGGAAAGTAGCAGAGAAAGATGTGTTGAATGTGATTGAGATGTTGATGAATCAGTTGCTTAAACTAGATGGGATTACGGCAGATGGAGATGCCAAATTGCAAAGGAAAATGCAGGTAAAATGACATAGCAGAGTGCATATTATTATGGTTTGTGGATTTGATTGACTTTGAGGCTTATTGATGATTTCCCCAATTGTTATAAAGGTGAGAAGGGTTCAAAAGTATGTTGAAACTCTCGATATGTTGAAGATTAAAAACTCCATGCCTGGCAACAATGGAGGGGAAAAGCCAATGCAGGTTCAGGAGAGGCACTCAAATGTACAGAAACTGTCAACAATCCAAGAGCAGCAGTCCCGGCATTTCAATGGACACAGAATATCTCCAATTGAGGAGCAGCAAGCAAGCAACTCGTTTGCCCATCTGCCTATACATCAACAATACCAGCAGAAGCATCAGCAGCAGCAATCAAGGCATTCAACCTCTAGTCCTGTGGTTGTGACCACGAATTGGGAGACATTTGATAATTTGCTCCCATTGGTCCCTGTCCCCTCCACATCCGCATCAACCACCAATAGTTCAGTCCAGCCAAAGTTTAACTGGGAACTCTTCGACTAAGCATGCAGAATGCAATGAACCAGGGTTTTTTTATGTGTGTATGGATGTGCTTTGGGGTTTGTCTTCAGTCGGTTTGTTATCCCTACTTCCATTCTTTCTGTACTTAGATTTTGTTGGCACCCCTATTAGTATGTCATTCTGCATACCTGAAAAATAAATGGGGTTTCCACAACTGTGATTATTACTGTTATTATCATCAGAAACAAGATGTTTCTCTCCATTTTATTCCACTGTCTCGGAATTCATTCTCCATATGTAATTTTCCTTGTCTTAATGGTGATATAAAGACTTGTGTCTGCAGATTTATTAAATTGAAATACAAAGTTCTAAACTTTTCTCAACATTGTTGAGCATTGCTTCCTGTCTCTTTTTCACCCTTCTGGCAAAATGAAAATGGGTCAATTATAGCTTCTAGTGGTCTTATGAATTTAAAAGATTAAGTTTGATTTTACCAAATTTCTAAATCAACCATTTTTTCTTGTGACTTTTTTGTGTTTTTGGTAGGTTTGATGATAAATTATATAATAGATGATAATTCTTCCTTCCCAACTCTTTTTGTAGCTTACATCCATTGTTGAACTTAAACCTTCAATAGGCTCTTAACTGCTAAAACCTTTAATAGAACAGTGTTTTTTTTTTTTGTAATTTATGTGGAAGTTGATATGAATTTTACTTAATGTACCTTTAATTTTTTTAACAAAATCGTGAAAAATAAATTATTATTTTGTGGCAATATATTGCTTAGGAAATTTCTATTTTAATGCGCGTACTTTTACAAAAACTTAAGGAAACTAAGAAGACTCCAAAAAGTGATTGAAGCTCTCTTCAGGATTTCATATCTTGCCAACTGTGGGGGCTACATAACAAAAGGAAGGTTGTTAGTAAAATACTGTAGATGGGATTTTTGGTAATCAAAGTTAACTATTCTACCCAATGATCAATGATTTTTTTTTTTTGGGGAGAAACCCATCCAATAAGGGGCAAGTCTAGAGAAATAAGAAGTACAGAAAGGAAATGATGGCCGGTGGGTTTAGATTAACCTCATAAAAAAGGCTGGTCTATGTTAGGGATATGATTAGTGTTTGTTCTGATTCCAGATTCAGCAAAACTTCCTCCATCAGGTTTCAAGGATTTTAGGCTTTTAAGTCCTCATCATACCTACTTGCCCCCTCTCACACATAAAGAAATCAAACAGGTGGTGATGTTACTGTCCCAACTCTTAGTTCAATATAAAAAAAAGTGTTTTTTAAGTCAAATTATATATTAAATTTATAATTTAAATATTAAAATTAATATATGCATGATAGGTAAAGATAATTAAATATAAAAAAATTAATTATATCTAGGGATTGCATAATAATTATTATAGTGAGATGCATTAAGCTACAAAGTTAAAAAAAAATGTGAGTGTTTGAAACTTTTAGACATGCTAGAACTGAAAAAGGAAGGAAAATAAATATTCTTTTGATTGATCTTTCGACTAGAGGATTATTTAGCATGTCTCCTAAAAATATAAGTAAAAAGTATAATAAATATA